AACTTCAATTTAGTAAATTATTTTGTTATTAAAAATTTCTGAAAATTTTAGAAAAAATGTCAAAAATTGTCTTATCTCGTCAACTAAAATGATTCGGGCATTCAAAATTGGAGGCCAAATTCGCAACCCCTATTTCGATATTGGGCTGCTTAATTTAAACTCGGTAAAATAACCGCTAAAATCAAATTGGAAAATCGAAAAAAAATTCTTAACCATTGCAATATACGATATAGCTTAACCATGCAAAAATAATACGTTGAAAAAGCTTAAACATGGCGAGATAGTAAGCCCGCATTTAAATATATAATATAATAGAATTCAACTTAATTCCCGTGCGTCCGGAACTTAATAAGAATTTTTGAAATATTTAATCAGATCCCCAATGTAACATTCGCCCGGAAGATACATATCGACGGAAAACAAAACTAAATCCTAAGACGACTGGCTAACGTCTAAACAGAGCTTTGCATGCTTTTCACCGTCCCTACCAAGCCAGTACTTTCGGTGGTCTTTTCTAACATCGGGTCGACAAAAAACGTTACTGCTTTCGGCTCCGGTCAAAACACTCAAATTAACTCAATTACATGCAAAAATAGTGAGCTCATGGCTGGGTCTCAGTATCCCCAGACCACGAGGTCACTCCTAAAAACAAGGCTACTACTACTTATTGAATTATTTATTGTTTTTGTTGAGTAGATAAAAATCATCATCTCCATCGAAGATGGTTCAACCCTTTCCCCCAACTCCTAGCTTCTCATCCTTATCAAAATGAATCCAGTTGTTAATTAAATTCAATTCAGGACATGACAGGAAGCTAAAAGTTTATATAAAAGGATAAAAGTTTCAGTCCCGAAACCCTTCCGGATTCTTGAATACACTGAATCAAGCACGTTAATCTTGATTTCTCCGTAACCCGGAAGGCTGTCTTCCACCCTTCACCGTTGTCTGCAACGGCCTTGCAACTATTGTAGTGACACAATAGTTGCAACTCGGAACGTTCTCTGTCAACTCCGTGATTCGTTGTCGTTTTTTTAATCACAATTTCCGTTGTTCTCACGATCGCAACTGATGTTGTTCTGTTTCTTTTTAGCTCTTCCGCCAAAATGGACGTTTCTGACGTTTCTCAGAAATGTTACTACATCACTTCGAAAATTTAAAATTTCAAAATACTTGAATATCTTGACCTTCACCATTCTACTAATCATCCGATTAACGTCGTTAATCCTTCAAAATCACTAACTCGGAAGGTCCGCTGCTAAAAATTCGAAATCTGCAGAGATTGCATTTTGTCCATTCTGGTCGAATGTCACATGTCACATACTCCCCGGACAGTCCGGTCAATGTCCTCATTGAATCACTCAATGTTCGTAAAATAGATACAGTGTCATCGAACAGAATTTACAAAATGCACGAAATTACTTTTATCCACGTCACATCGACTCACTTCAGAATATAATTGGCATCATACCACATCACTATAGCCTTCAAATTCTTTCACTAATCTGCACATTGAGGATATGACCTAAGATAAAAACATATTTTTCGACTTCCAATGTCAATGTCCCGATTTAAACTTTTTCTCTTAGATTTAAAAGGTGTTGGCTTGCAGGACAGTCCTGCCAACCAACAAGCTAAAATTGTCCTACTATGCTTCTTCCCTTCGGAAATCTTGCTTGTTATTGTCCTGAATATTAAAATTAAGAAACTCTGTGGTTAGAAAGAACAATGAAACAATCTCCCTCTTCGAGAGATTACCCAAGCCTTTCATGTCACCACAAAGTGATCAGTTCCCCTAGCTGATTAAAAACAGTCATGTAGGCTGGAATATTGAAATATACTCCTTCACTCAAGCCTTTCTAAATAATTAGTTAGTGAGTGTCTCTAAAGCCACTCAACTAAAATCAAAATGCAAATTTATAATTGCAATAATTTAAAAAACTCAACTAAATGTTTCAGTTTTCAAATACAACTTGGTTGCTTGGTTTCTCACTTGAGTTTTTTCACACACATAAAACAATTCTGAGTTTTAACTTTTTCTTCATCACTCCTTTGTTTCCTTCTTTTTTCGTCGTTTAGAACTTCTAAAACTTCTAAATTCTTTTAATTTCGTCTCCTTTTGCATCTTGTTTTTCGGTCATTCGTCAATGTTCCATTTCTTGATACTGTGATACTGATCCTCCTTCTTGATCCTCCTGTGATACTGACTCTGCACTCTCAGTTTCCGTGTCCTGCAACACGTCGTTAAATATCCTGACGCTGCTGGAAGCCGTCCTCCAACACTTCTGCTCTTCTACCCTCTGCTTGCAACAAGGTAGGGGATCCACGTTAGATTCTCTGTTCCTGCAGAAGCTGTTGGGGAGACACAACGTCACGTTTCTCTCCAAATCTTCCTTTAACATCTCTGCCTTCTCCTTTCCACTACGTTCAGTTACCTTAATCTTACTCGTTTTTTACCGTCTCGACCTTGCCAGTTGATTTTCTGGTCTGTTTAGGGCAAAGTAAAAAGTTGCCATTTTTAGGCCATCAGTCAAACGACTTTTGATCAGCTTTCGTTTATATGCGAACACAACCACATAGCTGAGTCTCGGATCCTCAGACTACGTGATTGTTATTAAAAACACGGCTCGAACAACTTATTTTAACATGTTTTTGTGTGGCAGTTCTATATTAAATCCGTTGGAGATGGATTGACCCTTTCCTCTTTCTCTTTCTAGCTACTCATATTCTAAAATTTCAAACTATACCGGTGATAGTTTAAAGTTTCACGACATCCAATTAGCTATAAAGTCAGTTCTATATAGTCCATTCACATAAAACAGTCTCTGGGGGACCAAGCCTCCGCTCCCGTAATATTCCTGCGATAACGCTCTTATCTCTTCCAATTTGTGGTACGGGAGGGTTCCGTGGTATATTCCTTCCCTACTGAAGCTTCCTTCTCCACTAATATCCGCCGATAAGGGTCTTATCGTGTGTTGTTACCACGATAAGAGGCTTCGTATTTTCCGTCTCTTGTGCGACCGTTTTTCACAATATTTGTCATTGTTCTACTTTTTCGTCGTTTTTCGTCAAAATGGCCGTCTTTTTGTATTTCTCAGAAATATTCACTTTTCAATCGACATTTTGAAAATAAAAATTCCAAAATATTCCTACCCTCCTTCGCAATACTTTTTCGTTAATAAGGCCTTTATTCGTTCTTTTTCGTGTCTCCGGAAGGTTGCGCTGTGTGAATCTGGCAGAATGGCACAATCTATTCAAAAACAGAGGTATAGTTCAACGATGCAAGGGTATCGTAAGCTCGAACGACATAATTAGCAACAGTATCACCGCCCACTCCGGCAATTTTTGTGCAACTCAGAATGAATACCGACCTCTCAAAATTCTCAAACTTATCAAAATACCAAAAAAGCATCACTCGGAAACAGGTGTTAAAGCGATTGTCTACACACGAAGACAAGTGACTCGAGATCTCTACAAAATTACAATGAATTGAGCAGTCATAGTTGGAGGCAAGATTTGCAATCTTTGAGAGTACTCTGACAGGACCCAACTACAGGGTTGGGATTTTCAGATTTTGCGAAAAAAAATTAATATCTGTTTTCTGAAAATTTTTCGAAAAAATCACAAAAAACGTCATATCTCGAAAACTACAAAGATTTGAACAGTCATATTTGGAGGCAAGATTTGTAACTCCTTAGAGTACTCCGACAGCACCCAAATGCAGGGTTGGGAACTTCAAGTTTTATAAATTATTTTGTTATTTAAAATTTCTGAAAAGTTTTGAAAACATCTCAAAAATCGTCTTATATCGTCAACTAAAATGATTCGGGCATTCAAAATTGGGGGCAAATTCGCAACCCCTAATTCGATATTGGGCTGCTTAATTTAAACTCGGTAAAATGACCACTAAAATCAAATCGGAAAATCGAAAAAAATCTTAACCATTGCAATATACGATATAGCTTAAACATGCAAAAATAATACGTTAAAAAAGCTTAAACATGGCGAGATAGTGAAGCCCGGATTTAAATATATAATAGATTGCGATGAAGAACCATGACGTTCCAAAGTGCCAAAACATTTTATCAATTACAAAGTTCAAAGAAGTGCATAACAAAAAAAATCAGATGTCTTTTTAAATATGTAGTGGGGTTAAGTTTGAGCACTCGAAAAATGCAGCCAATTTGAATGATTTAAGAGTCCTATAGGAGATTTTTAGGTGAAAAATAGGTAAATGAGTCGACAAAATTGCAGCCGATGGCGATTCAACTGAAACTCAATTTTCGGTAGGAATCTTTTTGGAAGGAATTGCATGTAACGCCCACATAGGATCTACAATACCTATATAAGCGGAATATGCAAACTACATAAATCGGAAACTAGTTACATAAATCGGAAACTAAAACGAACGACAGCGCTAAAGTCGGCAACCATAAACTCGAATAGTTAGCAGAAAAAAATATATATATGTATATGTTTATAATTTATATTTTCTTGATAAAATGACTCCAATTTGAGAAAACTGAGTAAATAGATAAATTTTTCAGAGCGGTGGCGAATCTGAAAATTAAGTTGATTACGTTTTTCAAGTTGAAACTAGAAGTCGATCACCTTTTTCATGACCTTTATACTGCTGCTCGATAGGGGAGTTGCCCTCCTTATCGCAAAGGATATGCACTGGACTTGAAAATAAATCAAAAATCAAACCGCAAATATATTTGAACCTGAAAAGAAAATTAAAACTTCCTGAAAAAAATCAGAACAACCTATACGAGTCTTCACTGCATCAATCGACTTCTATAGAAAAAATTATACACAACAGAAGATAAGACCATGCTTTGGAAAATCAGCCTGAAGATATACAGACAAACGAGTCCAACAAGTCAATTTTTATTGAAATACAAACTTGATATAGCTTGAACTTGGAGTTCTGTGAAAAATGCATTCAATAAAAAAAACATCTGGTACCCGGTTGCAATACCATTGCTTATCGCAAGGTCGAAAAGAAGCAAAATAGATTTTATTAACTCACTCGTATGATTAAGACACAGCTCCATTTTACAATCAAATTATCTCACTCCATGTTGAATAAAACCTATAATTCCATCTTTCTTAATTATTATCAGCAAGTATGTGATATCTTTTCTGGTTCTGGAAACTATTAAAAACTTTTTTTTTTACTCCAAAAAGATATCCAAACCGCTATCAACTGTTTAATGACAAGCAAATAAGCAGCCAAGTTTCTTTTCAAAAATAAATAATCTGATTTTAACATGGCGCATTTGCTTGCAACAGAACCTACAAACTAAAAACATGGTCTAACTTTATCTCTATTTTGGAATGTATAGAGTTGGATACACAAGTACACTAATAATGCACTACTTACAATTACATGTATAGCTATTATTGCACTTCTTGGGGTAGCTACTTCTGATTTTAAATCTGCTGTTGTTGCGAAAATAATCGATATAATTAGTAGTAACTGTTATGTAATCTATGAGGCACTTTTCGATATGAAATACAGTGTCTTTGCAAGGCACTAGAACATCTGAGGTTCTCCGTTATAGGCATAATAGTCTCAACTTTGAACAAGATTTTGAATAGGATTAAAGTGAACTGCACATGTTTCATTTAACTAGATCTGGCCAGGTTATAACAGGAAACTTTTCAAAATGAATACTGCTTAAAATAACATGAAAGAAAAATAGGGGACTATTATTTGAACATATGTTAATTTTCTATTTAACGGTGAATTGAGTCTTTAATGCTCAGTTTCGATGATAGTTTCATTCCAAACGTGTCGTCAAAAATATAATTTCCTGGTTCATTCAATGTGCCCGTTTATTTGTGCAGTAGCGATGGCACTCGTTAGCTTCCGCTGCTTTCTCTCCTGCCTTCCTTTTTACTGGTCAGCGGGTGGGGCGGGGGAGACGCGGGATCGTCGGCTGAGGGCGGAGGGGGACTTCGACTGGAATCCACCACTGTTATTGGCACTCTGGCCCATCTGGCTACCGTTGGACACTGACAACTTGTCTGCATCCAGCTGTTCCAGCTCCTGGCGCACCAGCTGCTCCATCTGCTCATTGTCTGGATTCTGTTGCTATAATTTCAAGCTCATATTACCACACAGACTCGAAGTTACTATTCCGTATTGCGTCTAATAGATTGTTGTTCCGAACAATGAAAATTGTGAGGATCTTTGTATTCGGGTGGGTTCTAGTTTTAATTCCACGCAAAATCAGGTACAACAAATAATCATCGGAATGAGACGAGTGATATATCATATTCAAACCCTTTAGTATCGATTTGAAGGACATCTAAAATTTCCCGTTTGAACGAATAAGGTGAGCGAGCAGGCTTATTTTGTTTTTCAACTTGAAAAAATTACCACAAAAACTCATCTTAATGGAGAGAATGACCTTTCAGTACTGATCGAATTTTTCAAAAAGTTGCCCCAATATCAAGAAAAACCGGATTGAAATTTTCGAGTTTTAGTTTATTTCTAGCAATTAAAGCAAGCGAACTGGCTTATTATAGAAAGATAGGCCAAGAAACTTATTAGTGAAAATTATTTAGTGGAGTTTTTAGCGCGCTCTTCAAAACAATTTCTGCAAGAATTTTTTTTTTATTTGTTATTGTTTTTTATTTTTCCACTAAAAACCATTACCCGATTTGCCTATTTTACTGCTACTGTCGAATATAACTTAAATTCGGGTTTTCTCCAGATACTTTCATTTCACCATGCACAATAAAAAACAAGAAAAAAAAATTGAAAAAGAAAGCAAGAAAAAACTTTAAATAAACTTTTTATTTATTTTATTTATAGAATATGATGGAAACATTCTAGGCTACTTGCACAGCAACCGGCTATCTTCATTTCTAATATGATTTGTTGTATCGACTCAAGGTGACCATACTTAATACAAAACAAGGATAGCCGTTTACTATGCAAGTAACACAGAATGTTCCGACCAGTCTAAAAAACAGTTTTTTTTTTCAAGTTAGGGTCGTTTTTCTGTGTAGTGTGATAAAGACCTGAACAAAAAGCTGGAGCTTATGAATATTCGTCAAAAATAGTAAAATGGGCATATTAGAAAAATCAAAAACAAAAAATATCAGAAAAAAAAACTTTTTCAAACTTTTAGCAGAAACTTTTTGAATTTTGAAGTTTTATTTTCCAGATGGCGTTTTTGAGTAAAACGAATCTTAAGTAGACACTCGTATGAAAACTGTGAAATACAAACAATTTGTGAACTCCAAGTTTAAATGTCGCCCTGAAGCACACACACGCACACTTTTTCGCCTTTCCAACAACGCAATACGAGGCGAATAAGATCATAAAATAAAAGCCAAAACCAATCAAGCAAAATAAACTTTTTCAGCAAAAAAACAGAAACGACATTTTACAAAACCGAGGGTTTGTAACTTGACAAACATAAAAAAGAAGTTTGACACAGAGGCGAAGCTGAGCTTTGCCCCCTTGGCGATACAAAACAAGAAAGCCGCTAAATCAGAAAAAAAATCAAAAAATTTCGAAAATGTCAAACAAAATAAATCTATCAAACAATAAGACTAGTTTTTAAATTCAAAAAACAATGGAATGTGAAATCAGCATCAAAAGAAAACGGTAACAAAGCCAAAAAATACCTTGGCAGAAACCCTTTCGGCTGAAAAAAATCAACAAGACTTAAGTTAATAAGTTCCCCTCACCCTCAAAACACAGACACGCACATACAACTTGAACTAGAATGAATTTCTATTAAGAGGTTTTTAGCATTTCATCCAAAGGTAAACATAAAAAAATTGTTTTCCTTGAAAAATTAGATCAGTAAGCCGATAAAAAAACGGGCCGAAATTATTTGGGCAGAATAAAGTTAAGCAGAAAAAAAACATAAAAAGTCAAGGCTAGTAAAATTTCACACACCCGAGTTAAATCAGAACACAAAAAGCAATTTTAATTTTAAAAATACTTTAAAAAACAACAATTCTACAATATGACAACTAAACCGACAAAACAAACAGACAAATAAATGAGCCGACTGTTTTCTTGTGAAACGGAATATTGTCCTGTCAGATTCGAACCCAGGAACGAATCCCAGGCGTATTCGTTAACAGGCGTATTTGCCGTCCCAGGCGTACTTTGCGGTACCAGGCGTACTTTGCCGTCCCAGGCGTATTCGTTACCTCCATACAAAGTGGGCCGGAGACACAATGAAATTAGATTTAAATAAGATATGAACCGAAATTTACCATTTCTAACTTTGACAACACTGTGCCTAAAGTTATTTACGGGGTGAAAAAGTCTAGTACCCGATTCCAATACCCTTGCTAAATAGCAAATATATGTGAAGCCATGTAACAGTTGAAATGTAAAATTTGTGACGTATTAGAGAAAAAAAGATGACCAGAAAGAACTCTAGTTCCCAATTAAGTTTGACCATTCAGTCCTTCTGCCATGAGAATGGGCTTTCTTGTCTTCTGCATCGTGGATAAATGGTCATAACAACTTCGATTAGTTGGTTTTAATAATTTGTTTAGGCTTAATTTACCTCGTTGAGGTGGTCCAACAGTTTTCCCATCGTCTCTTTCCTCTTCAGCCTCATCTTCTCCATCGCCTCCAACTTCACCAACACGGCGTCTATCTTGCTCACAATGCTGCCAATAGAGTGCTCCATCCTGTCCACTCTGCGGGCCAACACGTTGAACTCCTCCTTCGGCACTCCACCTCTGCCGCCTCCACTGTGACTGCCTCCCCCTCCTCCACCCCGACTGGCACCTCGGAGGGAACTGTCATCGTCCGAGCCACTCTCGCTCTCGTCATCCTCATCCCCGTCTCCACTTCTAACACGAGCGTTAAATTTAGCCACGACTTCCGAAAGCTAGTTTTCTCAGTAAATATCAAACTTTAATTTTCATTTACCATCATTCAAATAGCTTGATAAAGTTTGAGGTACATTAAATAATTTCAAATGCATTTCATTCTCCTACGAAATGCAATTGGCTTTCCTTTCCCTCTTATGGAAGTTCGCTTGAAATTGGGCATTTTGCTTTAAGCTTTCAGGATATTCAAACTCTTTCTGCCTTTTCAACCTGACTTTGTTCAAAACAACTAGAATCATGGTGACTCGAGGGATTCCACATGTGTCGAAGAGAAAAACTTAAACTCATTCCAATTAATAACTTCATTACCTTGCGGATCTGCCTCTGGACTTGGGTCTTCCTTCCTCGTCATCGGGGCCAGTCTGCTTGGCATCCTGGATCTCCCTCTGCAGTTCGTCCTTCTGTCCCTCCAGACATGCCTGCATCTGTCTCTGCTCCTCCGCACTCAACACTCCATCCGCATCAACATCGTACTCTACAAACAAACACGCCATCATCACTTTTACGCCGTGCTTATTCAGACATCATTTTTATGTTATTGGCTCATATTTCAGAATGTCAAAGTCAACTTAAGTATATTCATTTTGTTAGAAGACGGTGGTCTTAATTGTGCTGCATGTGATACGTGTGCAAGAGCGTGCAGAGGTTAGGGGGTCCCCATTTCCTCAACTCTGGTGGCCACATTTTTCGCGAGCAAAAAAAATACGCGGCAGAATTTCCCAAAACACTAAAACGTCATTTTAATATGTTTTTTTCTCAAAAATTTGCCTGTGGCGCTAAGTTTTGCAATAAATTTTTTTCGAAAATTGACAGATTCGAAAACGTCCTCTGCACGATATTGCATGTGTGATTGCGGTTACCTGCAAACATGGCCCTGATCTCGGCGTCACTGTGTCCGTTCTTCTTCAGCTCCGCCCTCCACTCGTTGAAGTCGAGTCTGTTGTCGTTGTTGATGTCTGCCTTGCCGATGGCCTTCTGGATGTCGGCCAGTCTGTCGTGCTTGAAAGTCAGTCTCGCCACTGCCTTGTTCAGCCCCTTCTTGAAATAGTCTGAGATCTCAATCTCGCTTTTCTGGCTCGCCAAGTCTGCCTTCACCTACACCCACAACACAACAGATATAATATATTACTCATATAGACAAAAACGCAATCTTCGACAACAATTAACAAGTTGGATTCATTATACTGAAATGGCGTTTGATAAAGATCTGCTAATTACAGATTTTAATAGTGACTCCAAAACATCAGTTTGCCTATTTTATATCGTCCAATCAATTTTCCCATGAAGGTGACGAAGCGATTAGAGAAAACATAGCCAACTGGCAGTTAAAAATATTTTAAAACCGCTTTTTTGAAATCTGAAAAAATTTAAACGTATACGCGAATTCATCTACGCTATCACAGTGATTTACTAGCCTCGGAGTAGGTGTCGTTGATGATGGCGAGGAACATGTTGAGGAGGACGAAGAAAACGAAGAACACATAAGTCAAGAACACGATGGGACCGAGGACTCTGTTGGCCGCCTCCAGGGCATAGAAGTCAAAGTCACCCAGGATGATTCGGAACAGAGTGAAACTGAAATATATAATAGATTAGATTAAAAAATATGCTTAAATTACCTTGCTTTGGTCAGCTGCAAACCATTGTTTGCTCCCATATGAGAGCATAAAAAACACAGAACTTTCAATGAAATATCTCGAACACCTCCAGATTGCTCAACTTTTACATATTACAAATATGCAAAACTGAAAGTGATTTAATATAATGGATTCAAATCTAATTTGACTCACATGCAGTTCTTGAATGTGGAAAAGTCCTTGACTTGGGTTCCGAACACCAGGTAGCTCAACTGTGCATAGGCCAAGAACACAATCAAAAACATCACCAGGAATCCCGCAATATCTTTCGCACATCTGCTCAGTGTAGTCTGAAGCTGAGTCATGGTCTTGTTGAAGCTGATATACTTGAACAGTTTCACCCAAGCGAAGAACACGACGACGGCCAGTGCATTGTTGAATTGGGTCTGGAGGTATCCGAGCCAGTAGAAGTTGCCGTAGGTGTCGCTGTTCGCAATCAGAGTCTCCAGTTTGCTCTGCACTGTTCGCTCTCGGTAGATCGAGTACACAATTCCCACCATCGACAGCTGAATAAAAAAAACACTTTTGAACCACAAAAATTTCTTCGAGACAACTTTTCTACTACTTGCTGAAATTTTCGAAATAGTGACGGAATATTTGTGCTCGGGGTGTTTTTTCATCATTTTTTTTTGAAAAAAAATCACCTATTTTATAAAGCAAACACTGACCTTGAAAAACAGTCAGAACATTTAGGGTTTCACCCTAATACCAGGAGTTTTGTTTCGCTTTAAAAATACTTCCAATATAAACCGGTCGAAAATGGTGCAAAAAACGGGAGATAGAAACATTTTGTGGCGGCATAAGGACGAGCTGGCTCTCAAAGTTTCTCGCAAGTACATTACTCGCACTCGTTAGACTCGAGTATTGCAAGTTCAATTGAAATTTATTTTCGAGAACTAACCGCGATGATGACGATGTCCAGAATGTTCCAGAAGCCCCTGAAGTAGTTGATCTTGTGGATCTGGATTTCAAGGACCTCTTCAATAATGTAGTAGATGATGAAGAGGATGAACAGCACTTCACATAGGTACACGAAGCGGTCGAATGCGGACACGTAGCGGATCAACTTCACAGTTCGGAACTGCCACGAAGGAATCGCACCACCCGTCGGTGGGAACTCCAGACGAAGACTAAAGAGACGGAATCATCTGATTTTCGTATGAAATGAGCACAATGTAAAATGATTGAAAAACAGACGATGTTATCGCCTACTCTGAACTGAGAAACCAAAACGTTGTATCATGTATGGAGAGTTTCGACATCTGCTATCTATTTTGTTTCAAAGTTTGTTGATGCTAAGTAGCTTTTTTTATATTTCCCAAAGTGGTTCTAGATCCCTTAGAATTATACAAGGAAGACATTCAATAAACCGAATTATGCTGATCTCTTTGGAGCATAGAAGTATATGTGTTCTTACGTAATGACACAGAAGAGGTTGATGTTTGCGTTGTAGACAGTGAAGTCTATGAAGATTGCTCTGGTGCCCCTGTCGACCCACAAACCCGACTTCAACTCTTGAATCACCTGTTCCGCATCTGCCCTGAGAGGGGGGAGGTCCTGGTAGTATCCACCGCCCTCGTACTTGGTCAGGGTTCCCCAATCAGTTGCACCATCCAACTCTGCCGAGGTGGAATATGTCCAGCTACACGCAAAAGAGTCATGCAGCTAGCAACCAAGCTTTTTGCATGTAAGTCTGGTCTTAATCAAAGGCACTAGCAACAGCGGTTATCTGTAAAGAGCCGAACGGCTTGTATGTACGTAGTTTCTTTCGCGGATAATTAGGATCAACATTTGAGTTTCGAATTGATAGTACAAACTATCTTTCCCCAAAGGAAACTACTTCAGCACCACATTGATTTTTGTCACTTATAAGGTAGAAAATCTAGTTGAATCCCAAGAGCAACTAAAACAAATTATAGTGGACCTAATACCAAAAACTGGGCGATTGAGGTAGAGGACTCACGCAGTGCCGTTGCCAAGCCCGAAGTCGGATATGTCTTCGTTTGCTGGAGCATATGCGGCGAAGCACTCCTTGATCTCGTTCTCGAAGTCAGCCGGAATGTCACAAGTGTCGTTTCTCACTTTAACCTACAAATTAACAGTGCTTTCAAAAAAATGTAAGCATTAGCTTCATCTATCACTCAATTTGGAGAAATGAGTTTTTTTTAGATTTGAGGATTAAATTATTTTTCCATAATGCTTTTTACTCCTTGGTTCAAACTCAACCAAAACCCTTGCAAATTACGCACCTCGATCCATTTGTAAAATTCCCTTATAGGTCCATTATATCTATGTATTTGGGCCATGATGGTCTAGACAACAGTGGGAAGTATCTTGCGCCAGCAAATGATCGAAAACCGGAAAATATTTGATTGGTGTACTACATTTTAAACACACGCCATTTAAACCCTCATCTTTTCACTCCATTACACTTCATTTCGACAACAAATTAACCCTCCTTTCAATAAACTTGAAAGTCTCTTACCTGTCTGAGTCTGGCGAGACCCATGATTTTGTTTTCGTAGTAGATGTATCCCTTCTCATCGTCTGCCAATTCCTCCCCGTTGTACCATTCCTCCCAGTAGAGTCCATTCAACAGGGGTCCCTCCACATACTACAACCACAACAACACAATCATCATAAGAGTGCACTAAGACTTTTCAACCAATTCGGTAACTAAATCAAGCTCTTTCAGAAATTTCACCGATCCTAATTTTTTGCTCGATTTAAAAAAGCTTGCATAGGGTCACAATCCACGAACCTATTCCAACTTTTAAAAAATACATTCTTTTTGACAAAAATATCTACTAATTGAAGCTTGAAGTTGTTACTAAATTGCAACCTAAATATGTATTTTCACTGATGGTAGTCTACAAATGTGATGAAAAGGACACATGCCTTAGGTTGAATGAATTGAATAAGCTTGACACGCGATCACACCAATATTGATAAACTTGTTACAGGTGGACCTTGAGCATTGGACAGTTGGCAAAACCTTGTTGAATTAATATACCACACACACTGGGAAACCATTTCAACCCATTAAAACAAAAGCTGAAATAAGTCACACAAATCAGAATGATGAGATGCACAAAGGGAACAAATGTTAAGGCCGACACTTAAAATCATAGCACTCAAATTTCAAATTTGGTATTTTCTCATTGCGTAAATGATGCTGCTTGCAGAAAATTATCTCTTGAAGGCCATGTTCTTCAACTATTCCCACAAAAGAAGTCTACCATTTGACCATTCTCTACTATTTGGACATCTTCTCTAAAAATATCCCCCTACTCGGAGCCAACATAAATAAAACCAAACCAAACTCTCAACTCCATTCATTGGTCAAACGGACAAATCTAAACATTGTATCCTTGCATTCGCTGTTAGCTTTTATTAGCAAGAATACCATCCGCTATTTTCATGTCATTTGAATTTATCAAGAGCTCTCATGCATTTCAGACTTGTAGTGGCGAAGACTATCTTTTCTTTGAAAAGAATTTCTAGGCCTCTATTGACCAGACACGCTTTTTCACACCATATAATGGATGATCGATCACATCAGAATGTTAAGTGTTGTGGTCTTACACCCCAGAAGTCGTTGATGGTGGCCACTGATCTGAACTCAGAGGCCGACCCATGAGTCTGGTCCAGGAACAGCACCATCAACACATTCGTGAAGTAGTACATGGAGGACGAGAACATCCCGTAAGTGACTGGCAAACGTCAAAACCAAGGTCAAGGTCAAGTTACTTTACGAATCAAACAAGTTATACTGATTTTATTTAAAATTTTTTTGTTTAATTTTGGTTAATACTAAGTTTAAAATGAACAATTCATTCATTCCACTGATTCCTAGAAAAATTTTCGGAAATGAAGTTAAATTAGACTATTTCTGTACTATCATACATTCAACCAGATCCCTCGCACTACATTTTAGTTTAAGTAGATCTTAAAACCGACCTAAAGATGCAGACACAAGTAAAAAGATTGGCGAGGAGATAATTACTCACACAGAAGCATAATATCTTAGTTATAAACCATAAGCTAGTTAATTGATTACACATCACACATTAACTTTAAGCCTTGCGTATTTGACTTCTTCCATTTTTACTTGTTAGTAAAGTGCTCAGATTCTCACATACGATATGGCTTTCCCAGATCTACGAAACCATGCGGTATTTTTGTACGGTTATTCGCGAAGCTACTAGAATGACCACCTGGTATGATGCTCGAGCATTGATCAAACATGGATAGTTTAGAACGTTAGATGCTAGCATTAAGCATGGACTACGTCAGACTGGTCCATGCAGGTGACAAGTTCGTGGGTTACTTCCTTGATTCCCACTTCCAAGCTCTCTTACGGTTAGTCCTCGCATTAATTTTTCAAGATCAAAACTAATTCTCTATCATGAAGGTAGCTTTAGTCTATCAATCCATTTCAATCTAAATGATATGTTATGGTGATGTTACTATGATGAGCGAGCTATCTATCCGATTAAGAGTTTGGGTTACGATAATTGAGTTACTATTGGCTGGATGATATCCGCTACAACTGGCTCGAATTTAACACTATCATGGTTATCTGGATGCAGATGAATCTTCAGTTTAGTCTGGACTACTGGTTCTGATCTAATCATGTCCTGGAGTGGCGTGGCGGTGTTGTACCTGCCAGAAGTAGTCGATGGAGTTGACGTCTCTGAAGGTGAGGGTGGATCCGGTGGCGGATGAATCCAGGAACAGATTCATGAGGACAGCCGTGAAGTAGTACATGGTAGATGACACCATGCCATACGTCACTAGTCACAGTCACTTATTGTCATTTTCAGAAACATGTTCGGTTTCACTTTTAATTTCACTCCATCTACATTACTACCTATTTTCCACAGCTTTTACCTATTTTCCTACAACAAGCTAATTAATGTCTCGGCTGATAACACAAGGAACACTATTTGAATAGACACTTAGATCTAAGGTAGTTTTAAATGTCGGATCCTACATAGGTTCTTCCAAAATCCTTGCTTTCATTCTCACTTCTATTATTTTACATCTAAAAATGTTCTCAAAAAGTCTCTCAGGTTTAAAGCAACAGGAGAACTTCAATCATTTTCACATCAAACACCTTTGAAAAAAAATAGAGTCGGTACGAGTTAAGCATTCCAAAAAACCGGACCAGTACTAAAAAATCTGGCCACTTGACTGGTCAGAAAAATTGACCAAATGGCCGCCCAGATCATAACCGTCCTTTACTTCCTTTGGTTTCAAGATGTAACCAATTCCGAATATTGGACACTCCATATATACAACATGAAACATACGTTGGAGAACATTTAACAACAAATTATACAAGATAACTCACATTTAAAAGGAGCTATTGTTGTAGACTACAGATAACCGGGTCGTACATTTAAACCATTTGATGAATAGTACATTAACAATTAGCTTTACTCTTAATTTTTAGTGAATTCTGGTTGTGTACTTACTTATACACAGGATGGAGAGGAATAGACAGTAGACGACCAGTTCTCGCAGGGTGGTCCTGATCACTGCCTCCCTCGTGGAATCCTCCGGCAGGGTCAGACGGGTGCGCCAGATCGCTGAAATGCCCATTCACATATCAATCAACGACCTACAGCTTTACTTTTTTTTTACAGAAATTAGCTCCATAAAATTTTATCATTCTGCGCCTCGCGACGACGTTTCGGCAAAAATACATCAACGCAAGGTTTCCGAAACACTAGGGGATGACAATCAGACGTCATTGATCATTGACAAGAAAAAGGGGGTCGATAATAGGGTAGCGAAGCAATAGCAAAGCAGACCACATCAAATCTTGGTCGGACATTTTCATATCATTTTAGCAATTCATAAATCTAACATTGTTTTTAAAGCTTCAGCATGTTTCTTCAATGCTATACATTTTGAATTTGAACAGGTTATTTTAAAGTCACCATAGAAAACTTTGAATTAATCAGAAGTATTGAATAGAATGCAACAAAATACAAAAATCGCATGGAAGACTTCCACAGTTTACCACCTGGCAATTAATTATTCAGAAGGATGGATGAGAAAATCGAAAAAAGTGCGTTTAATTCGCAAGCATTCATCATTTAAACGTTAGGCTTGGGTGCGTTGATATCGATGTGGATTTCATGACATTTATCTACACTTTTTGGAGTGAAATTGTCCATTAAAAAGCTTTCTCCAGTAACTGCAAAGTAACAGCCTCTATAATACCACTGTAGATACAGAATTTGACTTAAAATATTGCTTACAAAATTGTATGGGATTAAATAATAAGTAATTTAACAAGTATTTTCTCGGCATCTGCAAAAAAATTCGAGAAAAAACTTTCGGAACAAAAACAGTACTTCGTGACAAAAGAGTTTAAAAAATTAATTTTTCTGGCACTTTTCGAGAAACTCCCTTATAAATGTTCCCAATATTTTTTTACTCTTAACTTCACAATCAAGTTTCTAGCAAATTTCTAATTAGGCCAATCAAAACCAAAAAACGGTACAATATTTTTTTCTGAAGCTAAAATTTTGACCTTAGTTAGGAATCAGAGACCATAAGCTGATAGCTGTCATCAAGTTCAGACGAAGTGTGTTTGTTCAGCGCCAAATGACGTCAATAAACTAGGAAAACCGAACGACAGGTGGGCATTGCCATGGAAACAAGAGGCGAACAAAAGAATTCTCATTCCACATTTAATCAAGTGTAAAAAGCTTCCTCAGTTTATAGCCACTCAAACAAATCTAAAAATGATTGTTTCCATCAGAATCCATTGTTCACGCTTTCATTTTCACCTGTTTGATGGGAAATTTGGCAATTACTTTGCCATTGAGGAGCCAAAAATGGGATCAAAAATAAACGCATCGATCAATCCGATAAATTTGTTCCTTTCATTTTTAGCGAATCTATTTCGAAATTGAAGTTGCACTTCGCTGACATCCACAAAATATCAAATCGTAAAGTATTGCACAAAAAAAAGATTTAAGAATGATTTGAAAAAGCAAAGCTTCTCCGAAGCAAGCACAGAAAATTATGATCAAGATCACATACCTCTCCAAAACAAAGAGAAACTTCTCCCCAAAATTTGCCTCTGTATATCGGCCTATCTTAGATCGCAAATCAAAAATCAGAGCTTTCCAGTGGCTTCTCAAATTTTCATCTAGCTTTGATTATAATTAAAAGGGTTAAACCTTTCAAATCGATTGACGCTTATCTACACATACAGAGTTTAAGGTTATTTGAAAGTTATTCACTTTAATTGGTTTCGTTGTGGGAACAAAAAAAGCTGGAAAATTCCAGAGGTTTTGGTTTTTGGAGATCGTTCACCTTCCACTCACCTAATATCCTTAAGAAAAACTAACGAAAAAATCATCAAGATCTAAATGAGCATAAGTCTTCACTTCGTTCATTGACTCTTAAAAACCTAATACAGTTTGATTCACACCACTTGCGACACATCACAAACATATCATTACAAGCTAGCCGATAGAAAAGAGACAAAAGCCACAATCGGAAAATAATTGGTAAAAATACTAAATCAGCAAAATTTTCATACTTCGAACTCAATTTTCCTCAAAAGGAGTTTATTTTGAAAAAATTCAATGTAGAATTGATAGCTATAATAGACAATTAAGCAAAGACGAGGCATCAAAACATTTTGAAACTCAAAGATTGAGCCACACTCGAAGAACACACATAAAACTTTTTCTCGCCCAAAAAGGACACAAAAAGAGTTAATTAAACCGATGTCTTATACTCCGAATACACCTCTTAAACAAATAAACCTAGCCAACATCAATGAACGCCGCATCCATATGTAAAAGAGTCAATGAACGCAGGAAACTGGATCAAAATGTAAAGCTTGTATTTCGCTGAGAAACCTGAAAAACGAACTCCACCTTTGAAACTAGAAGTCGATTACGTTTTTTAATTATCTTTACACTTTTGCTGTTCAATAGTGGAACTTTCCTTCCTTTTAACAACGGAAAAAAATGAAATGAATTCGAAAAGAAATCAAAAATCAACCCGCGAAAAATCAAATATGAGCGTGAACAAAGTTTCAGACTTTTCCTGAAATTAAAATTATCATTAATATTTTTTGGAATCGAACTTGCGGTTGAAAGGGCTTCAATATAAAACGATACTTGACCCTCTACGAGCTTTCTTTTAGGTAGTCAAAATGCATTGGAAAAAAATACGCCAGTTATTTATTTTCCACTTCGTGAAAAGGTCGTAAAAAATAGTTTACACAGACGCAATACATGCGATAAAACAAGGACATTACATTACAAGATAATGAATACAAAAAGAAGAAAATTCAAGTTGATAAATAAAGTTGAAGAAATAACTTGAAAAAAAAAACTAAAACAACAAAAATTTCATGTTTGTAATATATTATGTTTATAAACAGCTTTGAGAATAAGGAAATCAATTATCGAGCGGGCACTGAGGCAACAATTTTTGGTCGACGCCTGTTGAGCCGAAAACAAAACTTGTCATAAAAAATTTGAGCTTTTGAGAAAAAAATTTTTCAACCCATTGGTAAGGAATCACATTAAAGCATAAGAATATTTTCGCCCTCGAAATTACACAATATAAGGTGACTAAGCCGATCTAACATCAGCCAAAACCTTTTAAGTGAACAAACACCGGAAAAAAATTTAAAAAATAAATAATAAAAAAAAAGATTTGGTAAACACTCATACAACCCGGGTTGACCTCCATAGACCAAAAATGCTAATCATACAATTCCATAAACTAAGTCTATGAAAAAATACTAATCATACAAATTTCACACATTTTGCTGAAATGGTTTCGTCGAAACTTCGAAAAACTTTTCTCTTATTTTGGCATAAAATTCGATGTATCGTACTGACTACAAAAGAAGAACTTTGGTCAAAAAAACGCTAATCATACTATTTTCATATATGGAAAATGTATGACTAGCATTTTTTTGATGGCGACGACAAAAGTTTTTCAAAGTATTTTTGAAATTGCCACCAAAAATTTCTGAAAAAAAACAGGCAAGCAATTCTGAAAACATTTTCTGAAAAAAAATTGCAAGCAAAATTTAATTTTTTTGTGTGTATAACGTAGTCCTGGGTATACTAATATTGATTTTTTTTCCGATTCTCTTCATATTTTTTTTCAAAAACGCTTCGAGCTTCTCTTTTTATTGTATGACTTCTTTTTGCATGCCTTGATCAGTGTCTGGTAATTTCAAATTTTAGAAATAATGATCTTTTCAAATTCAAATTTTAGAAATAATGATCTTTGAAAAATTTTGCCAAAATTTAAAAGTTCGTTACTTTCGTTATATTATTTATGTGACAAAATTAAAATATTTCAGGCTGTTTCCAATGCATTTTTAATGCGAGACGGCCAAACCTTTGGTCACTACGTTTGAGTAACCAAGGTGTATGTCATTTGTGTTCGGTTATGAAAAAAATTGCATTTAGAAAAAAAGCGGAAAATGAACCAACGGAAACAATGACGAAGACAACAAATCCGAAACAAAACTATTAATCTTAAAAAAAATAATTAAAAATCATTACTGCCTCAAACGATCTTTTTTCAAGATTTGAACTGACAAACTGATTTATTTAACTTTTCAAGAAATTGAGCACGCGAACAGCCCACGTGAAATTAACCATTCCTACTAACTGACCATCCTGTGAACAAAATTATTTACGGGAGAAAAAGTCTAGTACTATTGCAATACCTTGGCTGATCACAAGAGTAATTAGATATATTCAAGTCAACCAGACAATGAAAATTTGCATACGATGACATTTTTTCATTCGAACACGAGGACCAAAAAAACTTAATTAATATACGAGAACCAACAAGATAAAAGCTAACCACCTTAGCCGAAAATCCTCATGAAACTAAATTGCTCGTAGTTTCAATTGTAAGAAACTCCAACCTATAGTACACAGAACATCATGTGAAATCAGAAGCGAAGCTGCACTTGGCAAACATAGGCCAGAAAACAGCATAAAAAAGCTCTAAAAAGGTGAAGTGAAACAAGAAAAGAAAAGGCAGAAAAAGCCTTGAAACGTTTCTGCTGCGCCAGAAACTAGCCAACAATATGACAGATAGAACAAATGCTATGCAGCAACAACTGCGACTAAATGAGCACTTTTATTTGCAAGTTGGATTGGAAAGGAGATACGTAATACCTCGTTTCCTCTGGGGAATAGGTAAAATTTAAGATAGAATCGCTAGAAACATTTAGTTTGACTTCAAAAAATGCGCTGCAAACGAAAGAAAAAATTGACTACAACTGCGTATAAATACAAATTGCTTGAACCAAATAGAACTTTTGGCAAAACTAAAAACAGAAACAGCTGTAACTCACTGTAGAGAACTTTCTTTCCGAGTGTGCAGAATTGTTTGGGTTTGTACTCCTCGTCATCCTGCTGGGCCTCCACGTTCTTCTCCCTTTCTCTCTGCTCCCTCCTCTGAGCAGCTCCAGGCTCCACCAGTGACCTAAATTACACATATTCTCAGTACTTCTGTTCAAATATGTACTCTATAAAACTTCGAGTAGGTTACAGCAAAATTAGTTTGATTTGTTCTACTTAATGGTTGATCTTGAATTTCTATAAAACCTCAAAAGGAAAAATCTAATAGCCTTAAGCTTTGCTCTCTTTATAAGAGGAATACTTTACCTCCCCCCCCCCCCCCCCCCAACCTCATGCGTGACATTTAACCTGTAAATTATTTGTTCTTCTACTATCTCAACGAAATTGCCTTATACAGAATACACAGCTAGTAAAACGCCAGATTGAAGTATTAAAATAAAGTTTCTGTAAGGTATGTGCAGGGTATATATCTTTTTTTAAATAGGTTGCTTGAAGCTTGAGCTGACTTGAACTTACTTCGAAGAGTCAGGTCGTGGAAATTCAAAATCTTCTTGCATTGCGCGTCTGAAAACAAAAACATCTAATTAGTTTCGATGCTTCTATTTTTTAATTGAGCCAGCATTGAAACTTACCAAAAGTTGAAAGATGGAAATAATTATAATTGAAAGAAGGCGACTCTCGAATGAGGTCTTGTCAGGTTTTAGCTAAAGCTAAGAGTAGTAGATACCGATTTATACTTGAACAAATTTGGGAAATCTGAAATCGATAGATTGAATTTTTTAATCTACGGCAAAATTAGCGAAGCGCAATGAAACCGATGTTTTTTCCCATAAAAAGGAATAGCTCTTATATGAAAAATTAATCAACTGAATATTACTTTATACATGGCAGGTGTTGCTAGAGGTCTGTTTCCACTCGGCAGGTGTTTTATTTTTTTATAAAAAATCAGAAAAAAAGGAATTGAAAAAGATACATTTCCTCACAGTGTTTGGTTTTGGACCTATTTTGAAAAGCCAAATGACGCAAACGGTTTTGCCACGGAATCAAACTCTCCATAAAAATTTTGAAATTTACACGCAAAACGGATACCAAAAATATAAGAAACCTAAATATAATTATTAAACTAGTGTCAACACGACGATTAATAATAGGAGTCGTTTTACTCATACCCACACCCTATAATGTTTAAACCAAAGTTGTTAGCTATAATTTTTTGTTGGGTTTTGTTAGGTCTTTGTAGCCTTTGGGTCTTGGTAGCTCTGTCATTTAGCTAGTGGCTAGTTTTTTTCAACCATTGTCTGCATCCAGGGCGCAAAAACATTGATAACACAGAAGCGAAGTGGATGATACTTAAATGGAGCAAAACTTTTGGAGCGGTAAATACGCTGAAAAAAATTTGGGTAGACAAACTTTAAGCCAAAAACTTCATTGAAAATTTTGAAATAAAAAACAACTAGCGCTTAACGCACCTTCGGTGCTTCAAAATTTTTTGACAACTCATGAAAAACCGCATAAATTGGAAACAACATCTGCAAACTTTTAGTGTACTCTGACTGCACCCAATTACAGGGTTGGTAATTTCGAACTTTTAATTTTTTTAATTCCCATTTTAAAAGCGTCATTTCGAAAACTTAAAGGGCCTCTGGAGAAATTTGGAAGCCATATCTGGAACCACTGAGTCCTTGAGAGCACCCTACTATAGGGTTTGGAATCCAAAATTTTGTCAGTTTTTTTAAACAAAAGTTTCCCGAAAAAAAATGAAAAAACGCCTTTTCTCGAAAACTAAAAGGATTTGAGCAATCATATTAAAAGGTGAGATTTGAGACGCCTGGGTGTACGCTGACAATAAGGTTGTATCGTCATCAAGTTAGTAGTTTCAAATTTTTTGAATTTCTGTGAGAAATTTCGAGAAAATCAAAAAACGTCACATCTCGGAAAGTAAATCATTTGAGCAGTCGCGTTTAGCAGTCCCATTGGCAAAATTTGCAACTCTTTAGAATACCCTGACAACACCGAACTATAGAGTTGGGAAATTCAAATTTTGAAAAATAATTAATTTAAACTTTCTGAAATTTTTTTAAAAATCACAAAAAACTTCACATCTCGAAAACTACAAAGAATTGAGCAGTGATATTTGGAGGCAAGATTCGCATTCCTTGAGAGTACTTTGACAGGACCTAGCTACAGGGTTGGGAGTTTCAGATTTTTAATGAATAATAATAATTTCTCGAAAACTACAAGGATTTGAACAGTCATATTTGGAGGCAAGATTTGTAACTCCTTAGAGTACTCCGATAGCACCCAACTACAGTGTGTTGTAAATCATTTTGTTATTTGAAAAAATCTTAAAAATCGCCTTATCTCATTAACTAAAATGATTCGGGCATTCAAAATTGGAGGCCAAATTCGCAACCCTTAATTCGATATTGGGCTGCTTAATTTAAACTCGGTAAAATAACCACTAAAATCCAAAAAAAATTCTTAACCATTGCAATATATGATACAGCTTAAACATGCAAAAATAATACGTTGAAAAAACTTAAACATGGCGAGATAGTGGAGCCCGCATTTAAATATAACCCTTAATTCGATATTGGGAAGCTTAATTTAAACTTGGTAAAATAACCACTAAAATCAAATTGGAAAATCAAAAAAAATCTTAACCATTGCAATATATAATATAGCTTAAACATGCAAAATTAATACGTTGAAAAAACTTAAACATGGCGAGATAGTGAAGCCCGCATTTAAATCTATAATAGATTTAACTCCCCGTACAATTCCATAGAAATTAAATAACTCCCTTTCAACAAGGTACCAGAACCGATACAACCTTCTGAATCGAAAAAAGCAAACAAAAATATGGACAAAAAATTCAAAGAACTACAGATATTAACCAAAACGTATTTCAATTGTAGTCAAAACAATTCTTAAACCAGAAGAAAACTCGGGTATTTCCCATTTTGGCTTCCCTCCGGTAAAATGCAGACCACCCTTTTGTAGTAAAATCAAATTTAGTTTTATTTTACACAAGGGCGTAGCGGAGCGACACAGAAAAAAGATACCAGTGTTAACTAGCAGACAAAAAACGAGACGGAAGATACGAAGTTGAACTTTTTTTTAAACTACATCTAAAAAATCTCCATCGAATTATCTTCATTTTGTGAACAGTATGCGATGAAACACAACTACCTTTCGCCGCTGCTCTTTTGCTTCGCCATTACCTCTCTGCCAAGAGAAGTCAGTTCCGCCGCTCCCCATGTCGTTTCAGACGTCTACGCTGATGACTACACCCTTGCCTCCGCTGCCAGCAAAGTCGACGCAGCAGCCAGTCAGATGTCGCCTGCTATTCAGGCGTTAACTACTTGGGGAGACTGCCACTACATGGTCATCAACATGGAGAAAGGCAAACCAGAGGGGATGGTCCTTTCATTTGATCCCCGTGAGACTGCCGGCAAAGCACAGCCCCCCCCCCCCCCTCTTCTTCAACGGCAAGCAACTTCATAACAACAAGAATCCGGAAGTCCTCGGCGATCAGCTTGACCCTCGGCTCCTTTTCACCGCGCAAACCAACAAGGCCGTGAGAAGATGAAGAGTCGCCTGAAGATTATGAGTGCCCTCAGCGGAAAGTCGTGGGGTCTCTCAGCCTCGGATCTCCGCACACTGTACAAGTGTTACGTCAGACCAGGTGGTTTATACGCTGCAGGAGTGTGGTACCCCTTCCTCTCCGACACCAGCTGCTCGAATCTCGAGGTTGTCAACAACTCCGCCGCCAGAACTATCGCTGGTCTGCCGTCCGGATCCCCTTCCGTCCCTGCCTGCACGGAAGCGTTTATCCCTGCGATCAAATTTATTGCCGAAGTTGAAAGTTCGCTTCACTTCAAGAAAATTGCTAGTCTGCCAGAAGAAAAATACGACGACCAAAGGCTTGAGACCCAGAATGAAGTCCAAAGGCGAGTCTAGCCTCCGAGACTGCTGGAGATCCAGAAGCAACGTTGTGATCTCAATAACTCTTACGAACGACACCTTTGAAGCGGCTGTGAAGACGACGGTAGAGACGAGGCAAGAAGACCTCTACCTCCGCCAAGTCGTCTATAAATTCGGAAGAATAAACTCAGATTTATGCCCGAACTGCGAACTAGCACCAGAGACATCCGAGCACAATCTTTTTCTCTATTCCTCGTTGCAGAATATCAGAAACGAAATCTTCGGTCCGAATCCTGACTACAATGTCCTACAGACAGAACCCACCAAAGTCCTGGATTATCTTCGCCGCACTGGGCATTTATGCCCTCCCAATCTGTGACGGGATCCACAGCAAACAACATGAACAACAAATGCCGTTAAAGCATCATTCAAAATCGTTTACTGAGCTGCAGCTAAGCGAAAAATACTTGACTAGACGCCAGTTGAGCCAAAAACAAAATGACAAAAAAATAGTGCTAAAAATTTCACAAATTAGAAGTTTAAGATCCATTGTTTGTAACAAAACGAAGCATTACCTAATTTTGAAGTTTAAACGACGCAAAATGAGGTGAAAATGTCGAAATAGCATAGGGCGAACAAACCCATTTAAGCGAGAAAAAAACAAGAATCATACAACACCAAAATTGGTATCGTTCATTTACAAACTACAAGACGACTTTCAAAATATAAAAATTTTAAGATGATAATTCAAACGTTTTCGCACATTTCGTAAATTCAAACGTATTCTCATTTTTTCAGAATTTTCAAAATAGTTGAAATTGCAAAATCAGACAGACAGACAGACAAGCATCGATGCTTCAAAGACAAAAAGCCATGCTCCGGACTGAAAACCGACAAAACATTGAAAGACAAGCAATACATGGTACGAAAATTCAAGTTTTCAAAAAAAAACATCAATTTCCACACACATCAAAAGAGACTAGGTCTAAAAATCTAGACCTTTTTTCAGGACTACGCTGCGTCTCGGCCAAGTGAGAGGAGCCTGAATGATGTTGAAGTTCTATAATAAAGCAAGATTAATTTCTTACAGATTTTTTTACAGTCATCAGAAGATCAAAAGTATCATGGTAAACGAGGTTACAGTCAGGAGTCCCTTCATCACGTATTCCAGTCAAAATCCATGGAAATTTCTAGATATGGAAGCAAAAAAGATTAAAAGGAGATGATAAGTGTTGATGTCCATACAATTAAAATCCATAAGTGATATGTTTACTAAATGAGAACACGCAAGTCGACACAAGAAAAAAATATAAGCAAATATAATTGCGTTACAAATAAAAAATTTTCGTCGAAAGTTGTTTTGTCATTTATTGTTCCGAGTACGCAAGCGGCGTTCGCAATTGGTATTGCCAGGGAGATTCTCTGTTTTACAAAGCTGCCTGCTCTGGGTTCCTCAGTGCATATGCTTGGGTTCTTACAAAGCTTGCTCAAAAAAACTTTCTACTGGAGCTGAAAAAGACACCAATCATCTTTTGAGTCTTTATACGTGTCATTTTTTCGCTCTTCCGCTTCAACGGCAGCCGTACCAGGGTTACAAACAGACCCGGCACTAGTCCTTCTAGGGGCTAAGGAGTCTACTATCATTACATTCCACTAGCGCTGCTTACCAACAGCCCATGGAACGAGCGTCGAACCGTCTGGTCGCTTCTGATCAGTCCTGTAGGTTATAACGTCTGTTGGTTCGAGACGTAAATTCAAGTCTGCAACTTCGCTGTCGAAAATTGGCTGTCCAATTCTTTGGGTTTTCGTTTACCGGAGCCATTTCAATTTTTCCAAAATCAAACCACTTTATAAGCGCATCTTCATAGATTCCAGAAGCAACGTTGTGATCTCAATAACTCTTACGAACGACACCTTTGAAGCGGCTGTGCAGACGACGGTAGA